AAAATGTATCTAATAAAAGCAGATAGCACTGCACAAAGTAAACAGGAAACTTGGAAACCCACAACCATTTGAACAGATTACCTGTTGAACAAATTAGTTTATCTGTTCCCCATTTTAAAGCCTGATACCCATCAGATAAAAAGCTGTTTCCTTTTATTCTCCTTTTCCTGTCTTGGTTATTAGGCTCTGTCTATATTTTATATATATAGATATAATTTATGTATATATACACACTCACAAAAAATAAAATGGCTTAAGTTCAAATAGTGCAAACTTGTTGGCTCTTGCAGAGGAGGTTTAGTTGTCAAACTTAATTTTTAAGTAAAGGATGTGCGAACAAGAAGGAAAAGGAAGATTTTTCTGTGGACAGGAGCTTAAGTTGAAGATTGCTTTCATCATCTGAAGAGCTTCATTTGTTACTGGGCAACTCTGATCTCTGGCAGTGACTCACTGAGTCTAACTGTAGTTACATTTCATCAGTGCACTGCAGCTCAGCTTCCCCCTCCTTTCCCAGTCACAAAGCAAGATGACTGAGCGGTGACAAACCTCTCAAAGGGAATAAGCATGTCAAGCAGTAATGGTACTTGTCTGGGTCAGTACTGGCAGCATCAAGCATTTTCCAGTCTCAGCAAGTGGCCTGTTCCCAATGAGATTCTCCAGTCTCAGCTACGAAAGAGCAGCCAGGCTCCCGTTCCCAATTAGATGACCGGTTTGATGCCAAAATTGGGGGTAGTTTGGTGTGGGACCACAGCACAAATCAGGAATCGTTTTGGAGCAGTTTCATTTCACATAGAATGCAGCCTTATCAGAGACAACAGAGTTTCATCTCATCAACTTAAACTCAGTTCTTCCACCTACATCAAGGGCCCTGTCAGGGAAGCTGAGCTGCTGACTGAAATAAATAATGAGAGAAGCCTTCAAGAAGATTTAATTGCATCTTAACCAAACAAAGAGGCAGTTGAATTAGGCAACAATGTTGTCAAAGTGCATACATAGACACTTATTCCCTCTCACCACTCAGGTAGAAGGTTGTGAATTTGAATCCCACTCCAAAGACCTGAGCACATAATCCATGCTGACCCTACCAATACAGTATTGCAGGAGTGTGGCACTGTCAAAGGTGCTATCTTTTGAATGAGAATATTAAACTGAAGCCCGTCTGTTCTCCTGGGTGGATGTAAAAGATCCCATGGTACTATTTTGAAGACAAAATGGGGAGTTCTTCCTGAGGTCCTGGCTGATACTCAATCATCGACCAACATCACTAATATTACGCAGTCTTCACATTATGTGTTATGGGATCTTGCTGTGTGCAGATTCGCTACTGCGTTTCCTACATTACAACAGCAACCACACTGCAAGAAGTAATCTATTGGCTATGAAGCACTTTGAGTCATTGCAAGGTCATGATAGGTGCTACAGGAATTCAAGTCATCCTCGGAGAAATTTGAATTGTTTGAAATTTAACTAAATTCAGGTGATACCGTTCATATAATCAAATCAATCAGCCAATAAACTGAAGGCAAGCTGCATATTATTTTATGGAAATTTAAATAAGAGAATTTTTAAATTCTGATCTAAGTTACATATTTAATCAGGTCAATACTGAAACTATACATATATGTTGAAAGAGTTTCTTAGTGCACAGAATATATTACCTATTATAATGCTTATACACAATATACACATTTATACATAGAGAACCATAAGAAACCCGATTCACCATATATAGATCTAGGATGACAACAGCTCTCTGAGAATTGCCAGCAGTTCAAAAGACATTAGCTTCGAGAGCAAAACTACAATCCTTTGAACGTCAGCAGAACATCACGAGTGAATCAATGGCTACAACACGAGGGGTCAAATTTAGAATCGCTGGTTCTCTGGGCAGCACTTTGCATTGATGGAAGCAGGCATTGGGAAGTCAAGTTCACAGTCAGTTTGATCTCTGATAACCTCTGTCTTCAGAAGTGGTGTTTCTATCACATTGAAGTCCCCATCCGGGTGTGAGCTACTTGCTGCATCTTCCGTTCAATGTTCTGAGCCATTTTTGTATTGGGCTTTCCTACCCTATGACTCATTCGGTCATGAGGAGATAAGAGTCATAGCATGAAACAGACCCTTTGATCCGACTCATCCATGCCGACCAAGTTTCCCAAACTAGACTAGTCCCATTTGTCTGCATTTGGCCCATATCCCTCTAAACCGTTCCTATTCATGTACCTGTCCAATGTCTTTTAAATGTTGGAACTGTACCTGCATCTACCACTTCCTCTGGCAGTTCATTCCACATACAAACTACCCTCTGTGTGCGAAAAAGTTGCCTCTCAGGTCCATTTTAAACCTTTCTCATCTCACTTTAAAACTATACCTTCTGGTTTTGAACCACCGAACTGAAAAGACCTTTGCTTTCAACTTACCTATGCCCCTCATGATCTTATAAATCTCTATAAAGTCACCCCACAACCTCCTACATTCCACTGAAAAAAAGTCCAAGCTTATCCAGCTTCTTCCTATAATTCAAACCCTCCAGTCCTGGTAACCTCCTGGTAAATCTTTTCTGAACCCTCTCCAATTTAATAACATCCTTCTTATAGCAGGGCAACCAGAACGGTACACAGTACTCCAGAAGTGGCCTCATGAATGTCCTGCACAACTGCAACATGATGTCCCAATGCCTATACTCAAAAGTCTGAGTAATGAACACAATGCTAAACGCATTCTTCAAGTGACAGGTACAATGACTTGTTGGTGATTTGTTTGTACACTGGTTTTTCTGATTCTGGGTTCAGCCTTCAGTTAAGCTTTTGATTGGCTGGACGGATCATGGAGAAACATTCAGAAAAGAGGCCAGTCAGCCCATCGAGCCTGTGACATCTCTTTGGTAAAGTACTGCAGTTAATCCTACACTCCCCTTGCTTTTTCGCCACAATCTTGTCATTCTGTTTCCCTTCAAATATTTATGCAGTGTCCTGTTAAAAGTTACTATTGAATCAGCTTCCATTGCCCTTTCCATCACCAGTTCTGAATTGCAAAGCTTGTGATTAAAAAAAATTCCCTTCTTTTCCCTTTCTGGTTCTTTTGCCATTAGACCAATGTCTTCTGGTTTCTCCTACCAAGTGTCATTATAGAACACAGAAAACAGCCACTCAGAGGGTGGTGGGGGTGAAATAAAATTGGAAACAGCTTCTCATTTAGTTGATCAAAATCTCCCATGATTTTGAACACCTTGGATAAATGTCCTCTCAACTTTCTCTTGTCTAAGAACAATAATCTCAGCTTCTCCAGTCCCTCCACAGAACTTTTTTTAAAATTAATTAATGGGATAAGGGCATCACTGGCCAGGCAGCATTTATTGCCCATGCCTAATTGCCCAGAGGGCAGTCAAGAGTCAACCACATTGCTGTGGGTCTGGAGTCACATGTAGGCCAGGCCAGACCAGGTAAGGATGGCAGATTTCCTTCCCTAAAGGACAAAAACTAAACACCTTCATCCTGAAAATCATTCTGCTAAATCTCTGCACCCTTTCTAATTCTTTCCATCCTGGAAATGTACATAAGACTTCAACTGATTCCCAAGCAAAGTTTAGCATTACGTTGTTCCTTTTGCACTCTGACTGTACTTACAAAACTGACAACTTTGCATCTGCCTATTTTAACAGCCTGCTCAATTTATCCTGTTGCCCAAACCACTCCACTCCCCATATAGCAACATTCCCCTGTCTCTCACCATTTTAAAAACAAAATCTAATTATCTCTTTTCTTCACATTATGTTCCATATGTTACATTCTTGGCAACTCATTCAATCTTTCCATATGCATTCAAGGTTTCTTTGTGTAGTCCTCACAGCTAATATTACACCAGACTGTACATCATACATAGGTACATATGAATCAGGAGCAGGAGTAGGCCATTTGGCCCATCGAGCCTGCTGTGAGATTCAACAAGATCATGATTGATCTGATTACTCTACATTCCCCCTTACCTCCAATAACCTTTCACCCCTCTTGGTCATTAAGAGCTTACCTAGCTCTGCCTCAAATTTATCAAAGATTCTGTTTCCACTTCCTAGTGAGGAAGAATTCCAAAGGCTCACAACCACCTGTGAGTAAAAACAATCCCTGCAGCTCAGTCATAAACAAGTGACCCCTCACTGTGAAACTGTTACAGTTAGTCTCCTTTTTTTAGGTCATTGCTGGAAAATTGCATGCAGTCTTAGCCAGCCAACCTGGAAATGACCCGTTTCTCCTAATGCCTGTTTTCTTTCTGTTGGTCAATCCCGTGTGCCTGCCCCAATCCAAATTTGACACAAAAACCTCCTTTCGAACATCAAAATGCACACATCCACTGCTTTCCCACAACCTTGCGAGTCACACTCTTAAAAAAAATCCTTTGCAGATTTCCCTTTCAGAAATCCATATTGCCTCTGCCCGAACATATCACAATTTTCTAAGTGCCCTGTTAGCACGTCCTTATTTCTAGCATGTTCCCAGTTTCCTGCTGTGCACACACTCTACATAAACGACTGTTCTGTACATTTCATTGGTGAAAATGTTTAAAGTCTGTTTTTTTTGACTTCATTTATTTTGGGTGGATTCTCTTGGTTACTTTGTGAGAGGTTGCAGAATACAATGGCTCAACATTGACAAAGAGACAATCAAAAGCATCCCTTGTATTAAAAGTAAACAGCCAGGGAGAGGAAGATTAACAGGAAATTCATTGCTGTCCCCTGACAACTTTAAACCTAAAATCCTAGTGTCAGTGAAAGCAATGGTCTTCACCAGCCACTTTGTATAAAAAAAAACCTGAAGATGATGAGGATCCTATTTATCAAATACACACTTCCATCCCTGATTTTTTTTTAAATAGATGCACAGAGTTATGATGAGAGGAGCCAAACTTTCAAACTTTTGTAAACAGTTGTTTCCAACCCAGTTTTCACTTTGCTGTCAATGAACACTGTGCCAGTCCACATGCGTAGCTTCTAGCCTTTTGCCATGTTAATGTTTGGGGCTGCTGGACTCCTCGGATGGCTGTGAGCTGCTGGGGTCCTCAGGGTTGGCTGCCTCAGGGAGCCCATTGAGGTCGGACTTGCTGGTGGCTTTCTCACCACCCTCAGATGAGGGGACATTGCCCCCGCCGGCTGCCCCAGGTTTGGGCTGGGTAGTGGTGATGGCTCCGTTGCCTCCAGACCCTGCGGTGTCAGACTTGCCAAAGTTGAACAGCTTGCCGGGGTTGAAGGGTTTGGTGGGAGACTGAACCTTCTCCCTCTCGGCGGCTGCTTCCTTCTTGTTCTCCGCTGGGGACTTCAAAAACTTGAAGCTCAGGAAGCCTGGCAGTTTGCTCTCGCTGCCAGTGGGCGACTGGGGGGTCTTCCCGGGGACGGTGTTGCCAGTCCCACTGCCCGACAGGAACTTGCCCTGGAGGGGGATGATCTGCTTCAGCTTGAGCACATTGTTGGAGGCCAGGAGGGAGCTGGGCCGCTTGGGTTTCTCTGGAGCGGGACAGGACGAAGCTGCCTTGGATTTACTGTGAGCTCGGCTGTGAGCCTGCTCCGAGGATGAGGAAGTGGACTTGGCCTCTTCCTTGCCTGCCTCCCTGTCCTTCCGGGACTGTACATTCTCCTTGTGCTCCTGCCGGTGTTTCTCTTCCTCCTCTCGCTGCCTCCTCTTCTGTAGTTGCTGGTAGTGTTGCTGGGCTTGCTGCTCATGTTTCTGCTCCAAATGGAAGGAGATTATGAGATGATTATTAACAAGCTTCCCACCCGCCCTGTCGGAGCACACCGCACAACCTAAATACTGATGGCCCATGTGGTAGAGCCCTATCTCTGAGCCAGGAGGCCCAGTTGCTCCTGAGGGGTGCCAGAACACCCTGACTGACGCCTGTAAACACACTGCCCTCTGACAGGTCGCTCTGGGCGAGTGGCTGGGAGTCACTCTGACAGCTACCAGTCGGGCCCGACACGAGGTCATACCTTAAAGGCCTCCCTCCGTTGATATTCCAGCTTCGCCATTTCCTCAGCCACCCAGGCGGGAACGTCCGGGATTGCGATTTGCAGCACGTACTTGAGAAGGAACGCGAAGTGCTGCAACAATCAGAACTACTTTACTGGAGATTTATCATCATGGTATACCCACACATCACCACACTAACACTCTGATATACCCCACACATCACCA